GCTTAAGTCACTTGATTCCAACAACGCAGACGCTTCTTGGATTGACGACTTGACTACGCAGCGGTCGTCACAGGGTTACACCTTCAGCCTTGGTTCCGGCTCTGTTTCGTGGCGGTCTACCCGCTCGTCTTTCGTTCTCAGCTCCAGTTGTTAGGCTGAGATCTACGCTGGAGCCATGGCTGCACAGGAGTTATGTTGGCTTACCTACATGTCACTCCGAAATTGATGTCGAGCACGATCTAGGGTCAGATGATGTCAGCACCTCCAGCGGTTTTGTCCAGACTCGCCGAGCCATTTGTCGTAGTGCGCTGAAGGCTCCTGGGCAGGGATGAAAAAATGCAGCTGTCTCTCCCACCCCTTCACTGTTGATGCCGCCTTCTTCAGTTCGTCGTTCGTACCCCTTGAAAACTCCGTGTAGTTCTCGCGGTGTTGCCCCACGTAATTGTTGCGCGCGTTTAACCGAATGCCGCATTCTCCTCGAAAATTGTCGGCGCTCCTCGCCGTAAAACCGGTAAGTCCCCACGTAAAAACTCCAAAATAGTCGCTCGAATCAAACCCCGGAAATCCGCAGTTGCAGTTCGCCTCCGAAAATCTCGGACGTGCTATAGCCGCCCACTCGGTCACCATCAGTTTCCGTCGGTTACCCGACCCCAGCATGTGGGTTCAATCGAGAACCGGGGACTGCCCTGGGTTATTCCGAGACCGAATTTCACCGAACCTAGTGGCATCAACACCGTTGACCTCGTCGTCGAAACTGCTCCCGCCGATGCTGTTTAACAAAAACCCACGTTGCTCCCACCAGCGCTTTGCAGATGTTTCACCACATCGCTCGTCACCGGTCGATAAGTTCCCGAAGCTACGACTGCTCCCACACTCCCTTTTTTTTGAAGAATTTCCCGAGGTGTGCGTTTAAACACCGGGGGTCCTAGGCATCCTTGCCGCTGTGTTTCTTGCCAGGCAACTTCGGAAAGTGCCCTTCAGGCGAAGTCCCCCAACGACTCAACCGCACTCCAATAAGCGAAGAAATACCCGCAGCTTCATATTTTTTGGTTGTTTCACCCCCCGACAATTCCGCTTCCTGCCGTTCACCCAGCGTCCGCTTTTTTCGGATAAGGTATGGTCGGTGTTGCCCGCGCGAACCCAGCCCGGTGGAGGGGCAAAAACTTGTGAAAGTTAGAAGAGAGAAGAGGGCTGCACTAGCAAGAATGAGGATACAAATAGCAAACCCTAGAAGGGTTGTACTCGCTATAGAGCACCCCACTACAGGCTAGAGCATAAGATAATATTCTAACACACCCCCATAGCCAAAGTGGGGTGTAATCAGCAGAGCAAGCAAAGCAGTACAAGCTCAGGGTGGATCACAATGTCACCACACATTCTGAGCACAAGTTCAAGAAGCAATAGTTTAAAGTTCACAATCATGAGCAAAGCTAGTGGTAGTCACAACGGGCAAGTGAGGAGGAGGAGAGAGAGTGAGAGGAGAGGAGATAGGAGGCGACGGCTGAAGCTGCAGACACACGGGCAACAAGAGGCACACTGGCACAGCGGCTACCGGAACAACGCTCCGGAATACTGGAGTAACTGGCCCCGCGGCTTAAGCAGCGGCAGACGAGCAACGGACCCACGGGCGGCTGGCACAGCTGGCTACGACTGGGCTACCGGAGCAACTCCCCGGACTACAGGTGCTGCTGGCGACACGACGGCAACCTCAATTCAGCTTCCCCAAACTATCCCACTCCCCCTGGCACACACCCGCTGCTACACCGCTAGCTCCACTCCCTCTTCACCCCCCCTTAGTACCACTCCACCGGCTCCAACACGTCCACCCCCCCCTCAGCGACAGCTGCAGCACAGGGAGACGGAGGAGGAGGAGGAGCAGGGAACGGCACACAGTGAGGTCACCCCCATACCCCTCACCCCCAAACCCTAATTCAGGAGAATGGGGAGTAGGAGGGGTGGGGCGCCAGTAGAAGCACTGGGGGACAGCGGGGAGGGCAAGGGCAGCGAGGAACGGGCCCACCACGGGCCTGGTACAGACGCCCGAGCCGCGCGCAGGCGGCCCGAGCCGCGCGCGGGCCTGGCGCCGTCCGTACAGGCCGCGCGCGGGCCTGGCGCCGCCCGTACGGGTCGCGCGTGGGCCTGGCGCAGCCCGTACGGGCCGCGCGCAGGCCACGACGGGCGACAGGGGGCGACGCGCGGGTCCCCGTCGCCCGTCGCGGCGCCTCCATAGGGCGACGCGCCGAACGACGGGGCAGCAGCCCGCCGCGCGCCTCGGGGCGCACAGCGGGCAGAGAACCGCCGCGCGCCTCGGGGCGCACGGCGGGCAGAAAACCGCCGCGCGCCTCGGGGCGCACGGCGGGAAGAAGAAAAAACTGCCGCACGCCACGGGGCGTGCGGCTCAGAGAGTAGTAGCAGTAGTTGCAGCGGAAGCAAGGAGGTGGTAAGCCCACCCACAGGATCGATCCAAGGGGATCGACCTGCTCTGATACCATGTGAAAGTTAGAAGAGAAAAGAGGGCTGCACTAGCAAGAATGAGGATACAAATAGCAAACCCTAGAAGGGTTGTACTCGCTATAGACCACCCCACTACAGGCTAGAGCATAAGATAACATTCTGACAAAACTATCGGAGTCGGGGACCCTTAATTAAAAGGAACAGTCGCCCAACCGTTTTGCAGCCCACCGCGACCGTCACGCCACTAAACTCCACAGCATCCCGCTCCCCGCTTTGCCGCTGCGTCCTCACCTCGTGTAGATGCCCGGGTCAGGAGAAACCAGCGAACTGCACCATTGTTGTCATGCGGCGCCCCGATTTTTCGCGTACTGTTTCACCCAGTCCGCTTTTGTCGGAGTAGAACAGTGCCGCAACTCCCCTTTTTTTGTTTTTTCTGTACAGCTGTTCAGCGAGCACCAATCCAAGTACCTTTAACCAGCACAGGGTAGGCCTGTGTTCACCCCCATTATTCGGCCAAGTAAGTTGACTGCATGAGTCAGAACCAGAAACTTGGTGGGGATGGTGAGGTTCGGGCGACGGAAGGTCACAGGTTGTTCACACCGGCTTTTAACCTGCCCTTCACGCCGTTCTTCAACCCCCGCTTAGCCGTCGAGTAGTTTCTTCTCGTGTGTCCCGGCGGCCTGTACCACTCTCCTCCGTAATTGTCGGCGTGGTACCTTGAACACCGTTTAATCGTGGGCTGTTGAGGTTGTCCCTGAAAATGACTTCCTTACAGGGAATCCACTCTCGAAATTGCCGGCCAGTAGTCAACAGTATCAGGCACGCAGCGTCATCCGAGTGTCCTTCGGGGTGTATGGGCCCGAATTGCCCTCGCCGCCTGCGTCCCACTCCTCCTGAGTGCGATTTAGCCACTCCGTTTTCTGTTGCAACCCGTAAGTGTCGGCGGGTCTGAAGTTCCCGTTTGTCCACGTGCACTCCTACCGAAATCTTCGATGACGCGCCCGCCATGCAGTAAAAGCCGCTGCACTTCAGGTCGGGCGGGACGGCAGTTAACTCCCGCTAAGTCGGGCAGTTTAGTGTCGTCTCTCCTCGTCCACCGATATTTTCGGACGCAAAAATCCATTTGCGCCTGGCGAATTCCCCAGCTGACTTTTTCTCCACAGTTGCTCCGAAATTGTCGCCCGCAGTGACGCACGTCCCTTGTCGCCAGCTGCCAAAACACATTCCGCGAGTCATGCGCGCAAAATGACGACGAACCACCGTCGCAACTTGCCGCTTCAGACGAACTCCGAAATCGTCGCGCAGCTGTTGACCCAGGTCCGACGGCGTCAACTGTCACTCACGTGACGACTTCAAGGCCGTTCATGCAGATGCCAACGCAGGTCCGCTGACGCCGGCTGCCACACGAATAAACCTCCGAAATTGTCGGAAATCGCAGCGGAAATTACTCACATAAACGTCGCGACAGCTACTGCTGTCCGTTGCCCGGGGGGAGGGAGGCCACGGTCGATCGCGACTGTTCGAGGCAAGGTTCTGGCGGTGCCGAAGGAGTACCCGTAAAACCATGGCCGCGAGGAGCAACTAACCCGTTCTCCCGTTCCCCTGAGGGGTACTACACTCTAAAAAGCGGGGTAGGCTAGGAAAGTAGCTCTGATACCAGGTGTTATGAATGAACTTGCAGAGTGTGCAGTAAAACGAATATCGAGAATGATTGAGTACTGAATTACTGAATCCCGATACAATGGATGTGACGAGGCCTAAATAGGGGAAGTCCTAGCAAGGCGGGGAGGTTGGGCGAAGATGGCTCGGTGATGGATGCGATTGGTGCGGAGGCGACTCGGGGGTGGTTCGGTGCGACGAAATAGGAAGGACAGGTTCGTCGCGTGACCCTCGGGATGGCCTCGCTAACGAGTGCCTCAGTAAGGATTCTGTAAATCCTTACATTTTCCATCCCATTTTGTTAATAATCATATCAGAGGATCCTATATGTAAGTTAGAGTAGCGACGTCGTTCCAGTTACGAGACGCGCCATTTCTCCGCGTCGTGCTCTCCAGATTGTCCACGCAACATGCGCCTCGACGACATCACAATTATTGGAGTGCACTGTGGAATTGCTGGAACAATTTCTGCTCGCCTTCAACTAACTAGTCGATCCAGACAACACCCTCCCCCAAAATTCACCCACCTTTTCCGTCGAAACATCTTCAGTACCAACCTGACGCCCACATGCCATGACGTCTTTAGCTACAGAAGACTTTATAAACAACCCCAGCACCTACCCACGACGTCTTTCGAGGCGCATGAGCACAGAGACGGCAGGGAACGACCCATCCGCAAGCCATGTATAATAACCCGCTCGTCATTCCGTATCTCAACGTACCCTACAAGCACCAACGTGCTTACATTTTGACCCGCCAGTTCTCACGCTAAAACCGTGGAAAAATCGTGAAATATACGAATACCATACTACTCAAGTTAGCATCACCATCGCCCTTGCTTAGCTCGCAAGTGACATAATTCGCTGGGCGTGAATCTCCGTCAACGGCATGATGCGTACCGCAAATTTCCTCCTCCTCGCCCTGTCGCTCCTCGCTGCCACGTGTCAATGCCTCTCTGTCCGGCGTAAGTACGGACGCATCAGTTTGACGCATAGGCAGCCGTACCGAACCGCAATGTGCACATGAAACACGGGTGAGTATCATTCGATAACTGACTTCGTTCGCTCCATGTTCCTTTTCCCCCCACCTACAGTTGTCCAAACTAGAAATGGGCCGAGCGGCAGTGGCGGCGGCGGTGGCGGCGGTGGTGGCGGCAGCGGTGGTGACGGCAATGGTGGCGGCAGCGACGGCGGCAGCGGTCTCTATATCGTGCGCCTCCACTCCGCGCTCCCCCTCGCCGCGTATCGCGGAGCCGTCTCCAGCTTCTCCGGCTGGGCGGACGACAACGATGACGACGAGAGTAGCGACAGCGCCGCCCGCCCGGCAGGGCTGATGGCGACGGCGGAGGCGGTGGACGAAGAGGTGACGGCGACGGGCGGCAGGGTGCCGCGCCGCGCGCGGCTCAGCAAGAACAACCCGCAGGTTAAGGCGTACGCGCAGATGCTGCAGACGCAGCAGGCGCAGATCGCGTCGGAAGTGGGCGTGGCTTCGGACAAGATGGCGTACAGGTGAGCAACCAACGCGTTTACGAGGTAGCGCGCGGATGTGAGATTCTAGACTCAGCCTACTGACTTCTGGCTATCGCACGGATGCGTGGCGCTGAGCAAGATGGCGTGCCGGTAAGTAACAAACGCGTTGGAAGCAGCCCAGTGTATCATAATACGCGAGAAGGATCTTGGTTTCTTACTTCCGATTTGCTTTTGAAGATGCCGGTGCTAACCGCCGGTGCTCACACTGCCACATAGCGGCCCCATTTCTCCGCCACCTTTTTGTTTTTACTCTTTGTCCACACGTCCCGCCTCCTCCACCCCACCTCCCAACTCCTGTCCCCACACCCCGTCCCCCTCGGGCAGCTACATTAGTCCTCCAACCTGATGGCACCTATCATGCTCGCACTTAAAGTAGCCGACACCTCGTTCCTTTTAACCTGTGCCCTCTTCCCCACATCCGCCTCTGTTCTCCCGCCTTTGCACCTCACGTTCTTCCCCGCGCAGCTACAAGTACTCGTCCAACGGCTTTTCGGCGGAGCTGACGGCGGAACAGCTGCGGCGGCTGAAGCGCCACCCCGCCGTGGCGTCCGTGCGCCCGAGCGCGCGCAAGCGCCTCTTCACGACCGAGTCGCCCACCTTCCTTGGGATGAACAGCGCCGGGTCGCTCTGGCCCGCGAATGGCGGGCAGGCGAAGGCGGGCGACGGTACGGTAATTGCCATCGTCGACACGGGGATCTGGCCGGAACACCCGTCGTTTAGCGACACGGAGTTCTCCTCGTCGCGGCCTGCTGGGTGGTCGGGGAAGTGCGACACCACGAAGGATTTTAAGTGCAATAACAAGCTGATCGGTGCGCGCGCGTTTTATAAAGCGTATAAAAGCGCCAACGGGCTGGATCTCTCCGGGGATTGGCTGTCTCCGCGCGACGCCAACGGCCACGGCACGTGGTGTGCGGGGTGAGTCGGGTCGCTGACATTCACTGTGCGCATCGTGTCATACAGATGTCTGCCCATGTTCTCATTCCTAACTCTTCGCAATCCTTTCCCCAATATTCCCTCTCTTCATGTATCCCCAATGCATCCCCCTCCATGCGTCCCCTCGTATGCGGTCCCCCTCCTTCCATCCCGCCTTCCACGCATCCCCCACCTCCCCTACCCTTCGCAGAGCGGCAGCGGGAAACAAGGGAGTGCCCATGGCGGGCGGCAAGGCGAGCGGCATGGCGCCAGCAGCGCGCCTCGTGGCATACAAGGTCTTCTGGTCGTCCAGCGATGGGATGTGGGCGGAGGAGGCAGACATCATCGCAGCCGTAAATCAGGGCGTGGCGGACGGCGTGGATGTGATCTCGCTCTCCCTGGGCGCCGTGAACCCCGAAGACACCTACTTTGATGACATCGCCTTCCTCAACGCTAACTTGGTGTGACTCTCTCAGCTCTCGTCTGTGCCCCTCTCCCTGCTCCTCTCCCTGCTCCTCTCCCTGCTCCTCTCCCTGCTCCTCTCCTTGCTCCTCTCCGTGAACCCCACCCACCGACACCAACTTTGACGACATCACCTTCCTCAACGCCAATTTTGTGCGCTGCTCTCCCCTCCTTCATCCCCTGTTCTCTCTCCGCGCTCTACGTGCCGAACTCTTTGTGCCACCCTCTGTGTGCCGCCCTCTGTGTGCCGCCCTCTGTGTGCCGCCCTCTGTGTGCCGCCCTCTGTGTGCTGCCCTCTGTGTGCCGCCCTCTGTGTGCCGCCCTCTGTGTGCCGCCCTCTGTGTGCCGCCCTCTGTGTGCCGCCCTCTGTGTGCCGCCCTCTGTGTGCCGCCCTCTGTGTGCCGCCCTCTGTGTGCCGCCCTCTGTGCGCCGCCCTCTGTGTGCCGCCCTCTGTGTGCCGCCCTCTGTGTGCCGCCCTCTATGTGCCATGCGCCCACCTCTCCTCACATCACACCTACTTTGACGACATCGCATTCCTCAACGCCAGCCTGGTGTGCCTCTCGTCACCTTGCTCTCCTCATTCGCTCACCTGTGCCTCTCGCCACCTTGCTCTCTTCATACGCTCGCCTGTGCCGCTTTCCCTGTGCCGCTTTCCCTTCCTTGCTCCCTTTCCTGCCCACCTTCCTGCTTCCCGCCTTGCTCCCTTTTTTCTCTCCTCTCTGCTCGGTGTCGCGCACTCTCCTCGCATCTCGCCTGCTTCCACATCGCACTCCTCATCGTCAACGTGCTGCCGCTCCCTCGCCCGATTGTCCCCCGCTGCTCGTTTTTCAACGTGGTGCTGCTCGTTTGTCAGCGTGGTGCTGCTCCCTCTCCTAAACCCTCGCTGTGCAGCACACCAGCATTACTATGCTCGGCTTATCTGCTGCTCTCCTCTCTTCTCATTTCCTCTCCTCTCCCTTCTTCCCTCCTTCCCAATGGTCAGGCGGGGGTGGTCGTGACCTTTGCTGCGGGCAACGACGGTCCCCCCCAAGGATACCGCTCGCTCGACAACTATGCACCCTTCTACCTTACAGTGGGCGCCAGGTGAGCCAAGCCAGCTGCCTCACAGTGGGCGCCAGGTGAGCCAAGCCAGCTGCCTCACAGTGGGCGCCAGGTGAGCCAAGCCAGCTGCCTCACAGTCTGACTCACAGAGCCTGCTGCCTCGCTCCCTCTACCTCCATCATCACACTTTCATCTTGTTTGACTGTGATGCGGGTTTGCGAAGCACAGAGTTCGGGACGTTTTCGTTGCTTCCCTCCCTCAACTCCTCTAGCTTCCCTTATTAATACCACCATCCTCACCCCATTTCCCCCCAACGTCCCCGCATCTCCATGTCCCACCCCCCACTCCTCCCCTCCCCCAGCACCATCGCCCGAGGCGGCCTCACTCTTGCCAGCTCAGCGGGCGCATCCAGGTCAGCAGCAGCATCCACCAATCTGACGTCATCCTCCGCCACACCCTCCGCCAAGCCCTCAGCCGGCGATTCCGCGCCCAACGTGGCCGATTTCTCCTCCACGGGTCCCCTCATCTTCCCAGACATCGGCACCGGCGGTGGCCTGGCCACCGACTCAATCTTAAAGCCCGACATTGTCGGCCCGGGAGTGGACCTCTATGCTGCTGCCCCGGGCACGCGCGTGGGCGACAAGGGCGGGTCGGCTCAGCTGTCCGGGACGTCCATGGCGACGCCTCACCTGGCGGGGATTGCTGCGCTGGTGATGCAGAAGTACCCTTCTTGGAGCCCCGCGCAGGTCATGTCTGCCATCATGACCACAGCTACAACCAAGGACGTCAACGGCGCTGCCATCTCTAGTGCCGCCTCAGGGCAAGCCGCCACGCCATGGGATATGGGCAACGGGCATGTGTTCCCACCCAAGGTTCTCGACCCCGGGCTCACGTATGACGCCCGGAAAAGCGCTTATCTGAATTTCCTGGCCGGGCTGGACATGCAGAGGACCCGGTCAGAGTACCCGAATGAGAAGCTCACCTCTGTGCCTCCCAGAGAGCTCAACCGCCCCACCATCGCACTTGCCAGCCTCAAAGGCAAGATAAAAGTCACACGCACTGTCACCTGTGTCGCTGACTCTGCCTCCACTTACACTGCCAAGATTCAGAAGCCTAATGGGGTGGATGTTACTGTGAAGCCCAGCAGCTTTGCCATCTCGCCTGGTCAGAAGGTCAGCTTTGTGGTGACCTTCAAGGTTACTAAAACCTCAAAAAACTTTCAGTATGGGAGCCTCACTTGGGTGGACGAAAAGGGTCACTCTGTTCGGTCGGCGATTGCTGTAAAGCCTGTCAGGAAGTGAGTGAGCAACATGGTTGGGAGTACATGGTTTTGGGAATAATGATGGACCAACCAGGAATTGGTGGTTCATACGAGCTTGCTAAATAAATATGCAGTCTCTGATATTTGCTTGAATGTTATTAGATATGTTAGTTTCAAATATTATTAGATTTCTTTTCTTTTTGAGGCACATGTGATCTCTATCCACCTGAATGGCTAGTAATGGAAGGACGTCCCTAGTTTTGCTGAACCATGAATTTGTACAAACCCAAGGCCTGCTCAGGATTGCGCTTGCCTTATTCATCTGCCCAACCAGCATATTTCAGCATTTCTGTCAGAGTAAGTGACCACCCAAACCACTATGTCTGAAAGAAAACTATCGCGGTTCGTCGGATCATACGGTATCGGGCCGCATAGCTCTGAACCGACACTTTCCCCTCCCAGGCTTCATGTTTGGCTCAGTCAGTGCCCTGCTTCAATAAGGGCATGTGTCTTTTGGTGTAGACGTTCGGAAAAAAGGTCGACCTTTTGCTGGTAACCGGCTTCGTTAATTTCGCTTAACACTGTTTGCGACGTTTGTGTGTCCATGTAAAATGTTTGAGAAAACAGGACACTGAACTGGGGTCGACCTCGCTTTCGATTTTTTCGTCCACGTTTTTCCAGTGTGTTCCACTGCTCACGGACGAAGCAGCAGCGAGAATTGCGACGTACACGAACTGCTTCGTTGCGAGTTACCGAAGTCGGATTCGGTCACGAATGCCTTTTTATAGACCAGGTAGCCTACGAAATGTAGGCGCGAATCGGGATTTACTTAATAAAATCGACCTTCGACAGTCGAACTTTGTTGGTTCATGTGCTTGATGTGAAAAAGGAAAGAAACAATGAGAAGGGAAGAGGGAAAATTTTCAGGACTGTCGACAACAAGTTGACCAAGGTTCAAATGTATTAAGTCGCAAAAGAACATGAACTTACAATACACTCCAAAAGACACACGCCCTAAAAGGCCATATATTACTCAAGATTGTCAAGACTTCAATTCGTGTTGGAATATAGCAGCTGGAATAAATCAACTATGAAAGAGTTGGGTACAAGTATGGAACCCTAATAGGGGCTGTACCCCATATTGGCTACCCCACTACATCCTACACATAAAACATGCATATACTTCGACACACCCCCATAGGCAAAGTGGGGGAGAGCAAGGGGTCACAAGACCAGTCAAGCGAAGCAAAGCAAGCTTAGGGTGGATCACAACGTCACCACACACACTGAGCACAAGCAAATGGCCACAAGGCCAGTTCACATGCAGAGGTACATATGCAACACCAATAGCACAGTGATCTCTACCTAGCAGAACAAGCATGCAGGTATATATATAGATCACAGTACAAGCAAAGTCTACAGCAAGTGAAGAAAAGTGGGCACAAGGCCTAATAAAGTACAGAAACGCTGATGATCACCAGACGGAAGTGCCTTGGTGAATATATCAGCAGTGTTGGCCCGAGTGGCCACGTGAGCAAGACGAAGTTGCCCACGCTGCTGCAACTCTCGAGCCAGGAAGTAACGCAGAGCGATGTGCTTCGTTCTGTGCTCCAGTCTGTGCTCCTGACACAAGGCAATGGCGGCCTTGTTGTCGACGTACAGCACTGGAGGAGAACGAGGCGGCTCTCCCAAGCAGGGCTGTCGATTCAAGGGCATTTGCCCTTAATGCCCTGAACATTCCGGGTTATGTTCGGTGCAACTCGACCATTTTAAGGGTTTGATTCGAATGGCACCCGTGCCAGTTAAGGGCATCGTTTGGCCCTTCCCCGGACGCGTTAAGTGCTCAATCTGGGCCATCCCCTGAATCTAATTTATACTTTCGGTTCCGCAGAACCCCCCCCCAAAATCTTGCGGAACACCCCCCTCCCCTAACCCCCCCCCCCCTTTCCATAAAAGTTGCACAGTAGGGCTCTAGGTGGAGGATGTTTCACTCGATTTCTATCCAATCTAGTGTGTGTCTAGTGTCGAAGTCAGCAGATGAGTAGAAATGCAGTAGGTAGTGCAATTGTAGTTGTAGTTGGAAGTTGTGACATACATGTTGATTGGAGTAGTTAGCAGTGAAAAGTATGTGATTTTCTTGTCTTAGATGTTGTTTAGGTTAGTTAAGTACACAACACTTTGGAGCCCGGATTTCAAGTTTACACTTCGGCCTGCACCCGTGACCGTTAAGGGCGAAAATTTGGTCACCTCCCTGAAAATCAGGGTCAGAATTTCAGCAGCTGAGGGCCTCAAGTTCTGCCCCCACGGATATCGACAGCCCTGCTCCCAAGTCGGTCAGCAGGTAGGTGAGCCAGCGTAACTCCTGTGCATGCATGGCTGTGGCGTGGATCTCAGCCTCATAACTGGAGCTGCGAACAGAAGACGAGAGTGTAGAACGCCAAGAAACTGAACCAGAGCCAAGGCTGAAGGTGTAACCCTGTGATGACCGCTGCATAGCCTGGTCGTCAACCCAAGAAGCGTCTGAGTGCCCAGTGAGGACAACTGCGCTCCGCCCTCCAAGCACGAGCCCCATGCCCGATGTACCGCACAAGTAGCGCAGCACCCTCTTCATAGCATCCATGTGCACCTTTCGGTGCCGACCAGGAGCCACGTAGCGAGCCAGAAGGCCAAGAGGGTACGCAAGGTCAGGTCGAGTGCAAGTCATCAGGTACATGAGGCAGCCCACTAGCTTTGGGTACGGGCCACTCGGCTCTACGGACTCGTCCGAAGGTGGAGCTGAGAGCGAGTGGCCTGTAGCCAGAGGAGTGTGCTGTGGCGAGGACCAGGTGAAGCCGAAGCGCTGAAGGACCTGCTGCACCATGTGCGACTGAGTAAGTGTGATGGTGCGGCGTGCTCTTTCCCGGGTGATTTGCAAGCCAAGGTAGCTGTGCTGTTCACCCAGGTCTATGCACGTGTGTCTCTTCTGCAGCTTCGACTTCACCAGGGCGAGAGCCTCGGTGTCAGCAGTGGCAAAGACCAAGTCCTCGACGTACACAAGGATGTAGAACGGCGGCAGCAACGAGTTAGTGCGCAGAAACAACGACGGGTCAGCAGTCGACGGAGCAAACCCAAGAGCTGCAAGTGTTGTCAGTGTGTCGTGCCACTCACGTGGTGCCTGGTGGAGACCGTAGACCGGCCGCCGGAGGCTCCACTAGTTACCAGGAGGGAACAACCCAATGAAGCCAGGAGGGCGGCGGAGCTAGATCTCCTCATGCAGGCTGCCCTGTAAGAAAGCTGTGGTGAAGTCAAGAGAGTGAAGCTCGTAGTCACGCTGAGCGGCAACGTGCAGCAGCACCCGAAGTGGTCATCTTTGGGGTGGGGGAGAAGGTCTGGAAGAAGTCTACTCCCTCTCGCTGACTGAAGCCTCGAGCAACGTAACGAGCCTTGAAGACAGGCGGAGAACCTGGCGGCCGCTTCACCCTGAAAATCCACATGCCACTGACGATGTTCGCCCCAGGAGGGGGATCCTCGTCAATGTAAGTGCCTGTGGACTTCCAGGATGCCATCTCTGCGTCCATGGCTGTCTGCCACTGTGAGAAGTACTCACCCGCGATTGCCTCTGCGTAAGAGCGCGGGGTCGGGATGTTTGGTGCATCCGGGTCTCCCTCAGGGGCAAGCAGCATGGACACGAGATGAGGCGCAACGACTGCAAGACACTCAAGGTCCTCCTGACTGTCCTCAATGACGTCCGTGCAAAGAGCACACTCACCCCCGACGGATGGAGGATAGACAGATTCAGACTCAGCAACAAGACCAGCGGCGTAGTCTAGACCAAAGGCAACAGCAAAGTCAAGAAGCTCAGTGACTAGGGCAGACGCAGCAGCTGACTCAAAGGAAAGGTCAGTGATAGCCGTGGCCAGGAGACGCGTGACAGTAGGACTAGCAGCATGAAGAGAGTGAGACTCCGGGTCAGCAAGGGCAGGAAGGGAGGACGCAGGAGGAGAAGGCAGAGGGACACGCTGTCGTACGGTGGAAGGACGAAGCGTCATGTGGTGAGTGCCTGGGACGAGATGCTGACGTGGGACATGACGACCAGTGCGAGCAGCACGAACAGGTGATGCAGAATGAGACTCAGGCGACATAGGACGTTACTCAGGCTCACGACGCTCTGTAAGACCTCCTGTCGGACCAGTGACAACTATGGCTAGCAGACGCGTGACACTAGGGTGAGCAGCACGGGTGTGGTCAGACTCAGGCTTAGGAACGGTAGGCAGAGAAGTCGTAGGAGGGGACGGCAGGGGAACACGCTGCGGAGGAGAGGAAGGACGATAAACTACAAAGTAGGTGCCGGTGACAGCCGGCTGACGCGAACGAGGAACACGACGACCAGAATGACCAGATTGGACAGGCGAGACAGGACGCGACGCAGGTGCACGACGCTTAGTAAGACCCCCTGTCTGCTCAGTGTAAGGAGATGGAGCAGGCAGCGGTAAGCCAGGCTGTAACGGAAGACCAGTAGACGAAGGGAGACTAAGAACCTGGCGAAGCGCAGAGTCAGACGGTGGCTGAGACGACGGAGACGGTGGAGCAACAAACAGGTGCGGCTGTGCAATGCCACCAGCACCAGCAGCTCCAGCACCCCCAACAGCTCCAGCACCGCCAGCAGCTCCAGAACCCTCAGCGCCAGCTCCTATAGGACCAGCTCCACCAGCAGCAGCACCCCCAAAACCGGCACCTCCAGTCCCAGGGTCTCCAGCCTCAGTGTCTCCAGCAGCAGCACCCCTAGACCCAGGGTCTCCAGCAGTAGCACCCTCAGGCTCATCACCTCCAGCCCCAGCAGCTCCAGTACCTCCAGTACGAGCACCTCCGGGACCAGGACCACTCCCAGCTCCAGTGACGCCAGCAGAAGTACCTCCAACGGCATAGCCCCGAGCTCCAGAAGCGCGACCCTGACGGCGACCGTACCAGTCGTGCAGCTGCTGTGAGGTGAGAGGCACACACGGTTAAAGGTGGCTAATCCAAGGAGACCGGGCAACAGAAGACTCAGAACCCTCAGCGCCA